GGTTTGCACTGCAGTCTTCTGACCCTTTGTGTGTTCATGTCTGTTTGCCTGGAAGATGTGACTATTGCTGATGCCCTCAGTGAGCCATTCCAGTGAAGCTGTAACTGTAAGTGAGCTTAGAAAGGAGACTGGAATAGTCTCCTTTAGTAGTAGTAGTGGGTAGTAGCTGGAAGAAAATAGAATTGGAGCTACTGCAGACGGTAACCTGCTAGGAAGAGGACTGTAAATGCTAAGGAACATTACTGATGAGAGATGGAAAAGGCAGATAAAAGGAACCGGGAGGTTAAGTTTCCTCTTGTATTACAGTGGTAATTAGAATAGCTGAAGAGCTACCTCCTGCTGTAGCTCCAGGCTAAAGCTGAGTTTCTCCAGGGTAGTCAGAATGTGGACTTGACTGCAAGCTCCTTCAGAGAGAATCTTGTGAATAGTGTGATGAGCAGCATTAGTACTGCCTTTTATTTGTGGATATTACCTATATCCATTTCTGCTTTGGAGCACAAACTTGTTCTGAAGAGAGTGCTCCTCTCTGAACAGAGGAGTGGTGAATTGAGGCATCTTGGAATTCTCTCTGTGGTAGCAAAGGATGCTCAGGTATTGTAAGCATGGAAGGCTTAACTGTGCTGTTCAGTGCAGGGAAGTCTGCAGAACAAAACTAGGAGGTTGTAGCAGGGTGGTTGGATCAGAATGACAGGGGCTGGACTCCTCCTGGTGTTGTACAGGAATGCAGGTGGGGAAGCAGTGACCACAGCCATCTAGAAAAAACAGCTGCCTTTCAGAGGTTAGTTACTGGTCTGCACAGGCATCCTGCTTAGTGGAGAGATGGTTGAAAGACCTTCCTTTTCTGGGATGCAGTGAAGACAAGTTTATTTCATGGAAGCATCCTGGCACTATATAATAGCCTGATGGTGCAGCAGTTAGCTGCCAGTTCCTGCCCTGGTACCTGGCTGTGGGCTGCTTGACGCATGCCTGGCTGTTTCCATGTGTTGTGCTGATAGGTGACTGACGCCAAGTTTCCTTTCTCATGTTTCAGGAGCTGTTGGCCAGATGCTGCTGGATGCTGACAGGGGAAAGCTGATTCAGAAACAAGTGACCAGAAATGTTTGGACACATCGTCACTTTGGATCTGTAAGTCATTGTCTGAGGGGAAAGTTGTCTGGAGGCACGGTATTTAAGTGTCTCTGGAAATGCTCAGATCATGAGGGTAGGTTTTGAATCCCGTATCTTTTCCGGGTAGGTGGGGATGAGATGGTGGGTACCATAGTTGCTGGCTCTGGGGTAGGAAGCAGGACAGTCCTGTTTGAGCCTGAGGAACTGTGGGCTGAGAGACAGGGAGGCCCTTGGCATGTTTGTTCTGAGCACCACTGCAGTGGGAACATGTGTGGACCCATGGGTGCAGCTGTTCCTGGAAGCCTCTGCTTGTCTGCCAGCCCATTTGGCTAGTGCTGAGCCAGCTCCTGCTGGGAGTTGGTGGAACAGCAGATTCAAACTATACTGGCCTGGTCCTTCCTGGAGGTCTCTGTTCTCCCTCTCTTTGCTTTCTTCCCCAGTTGTGCTGTTGTGAAGCTGTTTTTATTCCTGTGCTAGTCGAGACCTGACTGTAGCATTGTAGTAAGGAAAGGGGCCAGACAGCTTGTTGGGGCAGGGCCAGCACTAGGGCACCTCTTCAGTCTGTTTTGGCAGAGCTTGAGTTTGCGTGGTCCTGCTTGCCTGCCTGTTCCATTCAGCTTCAATCTGGCTCTCCCTGTGTGCATACAAGTGCTGCACACCCTGTGCCCTCCCAGGGCTTGGTGCCATTGACACGGATAAAGCAGCACAGCCGCAGAAGCTCATCAGGGAAGAAAGGAAAGCTCCACTGCAGTCTGTCTTGTGCTAGTGGCAGTGTGATGGCCACAGAGCTATGCTCTTGCACCTGGCTCCCAGATCAACCCAATCCTCCTCTTGTAGTGATGGGTACCTGTCATGGTTTAACCCCAGCCAGCAAGTGAGCATGACACAGCTGCTCACTCACTCCCCAGTATATAAAACAAGTGATGCACAATGCAGTTGCTCACCTCTCACTGACTGGTGCCCAGCCAGTTCTGAGCAGTGGTCCCTAGCCAGATTTCCTCTTAGTTTATATACTAAGCATGACATCATGGTATGGAATATCCCTTTGGCCAGTTGGGGTCAGCTGTCCTGGCTGTGTCCCCTCCCAACTTCTTGGGCCCCCCAGCCTACCACTGGTGGGGTAGTATGAGAAGCTAAAAAGTCCCTGATCAGGGTAAGTGTGACTTGGCAACAGCTAAAACATCGGTGTGTTATCAACATTATTCTCATTCTAAATCCAAAACACAGCACTGCACCAGCTACTAGGAAGAAAATTAACCCTATCCCAGTCAAAACCAGGACAATACCCTGGGCTTTAAAACAGAGAGGAATGTTTTTTCTGAACTTGTGTTATATCCTTGGTTGGCTGGAAGCTATTTTAGAAAGGCCTGTTAGTAGCAAGGTAGAGTGTGGCATACTGCTTGCTGGAAGTCAGAGTAGCTTGCCTTTCTCTCTTGTGGAGGTGTGGGTTATCACAGCTGTAGGCACAAGGACATAATGTTTTGGCTCAAACAAGAGCCTGATAATTGCCAGCTCATTTGTAGGTGAGAAACACTGACGTAAAAGGATGTGTGAGGTAATTGTTAGTGCTACCAAGCTTCATGCTGAAGGCTTCACGGTTAGCATCAGCCTGTAGTAGCAAGGAAGATTAGCTGGGAGGCTCCCGTTTTGTGGGAAGTTTGTTTGGTCTTTACTGGAATCAAGGTTTCCTTGAAGCTGTTGCTTCATGAATTTTGAGTTTGTGTGGTCCCAGTTGCCCAAGTGCCTTGGACACGTCCCTGCCAGGTGCCTTTCCAGCTCTCACTGAGCTATGTGGCCCAACGATCCTGAGCTGGTTTCATTAACTTTCAGAAGATCTGATGCAGAAACTTGGAGTGAGATGATCATACAGTTGTTCTTGGTTGTACATGTTCCCTATTCCTAACATATTTATGGGGTGAGATTCAAACCAGCTGCTTTGCTGTATGCTAAGCTATTTGTTTCTCTTCTTCAGGGCATCTGACTGAGCGTCCCTGCTTCATGAGGCTTTGAATTTGAGCCCAGGCTGGTAAGTGCTCAGGTCCTTGTGGGCTAGAGAAATGATTGTGATTTCAGCTTGGGATATTTCTATGTGCATCTGCTGTCCTTAGCCTGGAAAGAATTGACAGAAGAGTCCCCTAGATCTCGTATTTGATGGTGTTGACAAACCGGCTTGTGATCAGAATTTCAGCATTCCTGACAAGTCAGACCCATCTGTTTTGCTTGGGGATGCAATAGAACGTGCAGTTGGTATGCTAAATGTGATTTTTCTGGAGTACTAGAGATCTCTTCAGTTACTTGAGACTTTTTAGGAGATGGGACCTTGAGGGAATGACTTCCAGCACTCTGGTGGTGGAAATTTACAGGTTAGTGCTAAGAAGTTGTTCACATCTCTGGAAAGATGTGAGAGTCTTCTGTGAGCTTATGTTTTTAGTGGAGTGGAGGTCAGCTTGTGAAGTGTAAGTGTAAAGCCTGCTGTGGCTTGGAGGCACTTTGTGCTTGGTGCAAACACCTCACATGTGACAGTCCTCCGAAGGGACTCAGTCTAAGTGTCAAGAAAACTCGGCTAGGCAAGAGGGGTAAGAACTGGAGAGAATTATTGGAGCTCCATTGAGGCACTTAACAGGTAAAACTCCACTGGCCAAAACAGAAAGCAAGCGAAATCTGCTAGATCACTGGCCCAGTGGTATCCACTGACTCTCTTGAAGGTATGTGAATGGGAGTCAAACAGCCCTGCCTGTAGAAGCAGGGAGAGGGTGATATGAGGTGGCTCCTGCACTTTGAAGTGCTGCAGGTCAGGTGAGCATTGCAGAGATGCTAGGCTTGATCAGTGTTGGAATCCAGCAAGTGAAAAGGGAATGAGAAGCTGGTGCTTACCTCAAATATAGGGGAACTAGGAACTATATGTTGTCACCAGGGAATATCTGGTACTGTGCTCTGTGAGGACTCCTTGGCAGCTCCAAGACTTCTTGTCTTGTGTGCTTGGGTGGTTGAAATCCTGGCTGCTTGGGGGTAAGTCTTCCTGCCCTCCACTGCAGTCCCAACATGGTGGAAAGGAAGGAGATTCTTCCGTGTGTACAAGATAGCTGCTTTCCTTCTACCCCATGTTTCTGCTCTTGTACTGCTACAGCTCCTGCATCAGCTCCATGCCCAGCATGGCTGGGGTAAAGGGACTAATCTGATCTTTCTGCTAGTGGTACTGATGTATGTTGCAAAATCTGGCTTTAGGTACCAACATCAAGGGCATTGCCATCCTAATTCGATGCCACCTATGATTTGGGGGATGGTATTTGTCTTTTCTGACAGTGAGCAGTTGTAACGGTATGGTACCTCCTTCTAACAAGCCTCCTGTGATCTGCTCCACTGGGATTCCAGTGTAAGCCAAAACTTCTGGGTTTGGGCTCTTTAATGGTTAGAGTCTCCTCCCACATAGTCCCTGCTGACAGTGACAGCACAGGATCAATAACTGCTGCTCCAGCTGTCACTGCTGCCTGTAAAGGCTTGCAGTTTCCATATTGGAAAAGGCCTTTCCTAAAGAGCCTAATCAATATGCTGCTGTGAGGTCTATTCTCGTTTGCTATATATAACCCAGATACATACAAACTGCGTGTGTAGAGGGGGGAGAGGATGTGCCAGCCCTCTGCTGTCACTGGCTGGGAGAAGGACACAGCTACCTCTTACTTTGCTCCCTCTCCTGCAGCTGCTTCTCAAGGCCTGTGGCCACATCCTTTCCCTGCTCAATTAGCACTCTGCATGGGGACCAGCTCTGGGACTCCAGGGGAGCCACGTTCCTGCTGGGTCACTTCTCGGGTTTGATGGAGCACCTGTGACTCTCTATTCTGTGCACTTTGTGCTGTTGGTAGGTAACCTGCTTTTGGAGCCACACAGGTGGGAGGATGTCGAGCACCGCTCCATCAAAGAAGCCTTACCGCAAGGCACCCCCGCAGCATCGGGAAATCCGCCATGAGGTACCCATCATCCGTGATGACCAGGATGGAGTGATCTTGGCTGAACAGAGTCAGGTAACGGCTTGCCGGGTGGCAAAGGGCTTAACACCATTGCACCAGCAAACAGGGTTTAGTTACACCAAGGCAGGACAGCTCAAGCAGGCAGAGGGGTTTGAGGTTTGCAACCTGAACTTCTCATCGTGGTCCCTGGAGTCCAGCAGTGAGAAGGAAGTGACAGGGTGCAGAGCAGAGTTGAACATCAAGAGCCAGACTGTCTTGCCAGCACTTCCTCATGGTGGAAAGATGGGGCAGCGAAGTGGGAAGCGGTGCCCAGCCCGCAGTCGTGGGCACCGCAGTAGATTTATGAGCCGTAGCATGGAGACAGTTGCCGTGTCTGGAGATGAAAGACACCATCCCACTTGCTCTTTCAAGAGCAGAAGCCTGGAACGCTCACTTATGTTTAAAGAGCCTCCTGAAGTCCTTACACCGAGGAAGCTTCAGGTCTCCTCTGCCCACCTGCCTCTCAAAGGAATCCTGAAGCAGACCAACATGGGAGGCCCATGCCCTGAGACCTTACGCAAGTCCCACTCAGTGGAGACGCTTTCCCGTGGCCACGGCTCGCGCAAGTACAGTGATCCTCAGCTCTGCCTCAGCCAAAGGGAGAAGCAATCACTGGAGCACAGCAGCAGCAGGGCCACTGGCTCTGTCAAGCGCAGGGAGAAGATCACAGAGGAGAAACTGCAGTTCTCCAAATTCCTGGATGAGATTACCCAGCGGGTGCTGAGTCCTATCCGTTTGCGTTCACTGGGAGAGACCAGGGGAGCAGAACAAGACCAGAACTTTACCCTTCTTCCCAGAAGATCTGTGCCAGAAGGCCAAGGGGTTAAAACCAAGCTTGTAGCTGAAAGATCCCCCCGCCTGACCAGAAGAAAAGCAGAAATGAAATGTGAGGTGCTGAGAATGGCTTCATGCCAGAGAAAGTGTTCTGAGGAGGCTGAAAGAGCTTCCAGACAAAGAAAGAAACCTGTCCTTGGGAGGAAGGACAGTAAGGGAAAACTCCTTTCCCTAGAGAGGAGGGTAGTAGATGTGTGTCAGTATGAGCTGAAGCAGCTGGCAGACCTGGGGCTGTCAGGGACATCCTCCAGGCAGCAGCACTCACTGTCTTCTTGGAAAAGCAGTGCGGAGGGCAGAAGGGATGAAAGCAGTTCTTGTTCACAGCTACTACAGCCACACCATCTGTGTGCTAAACTTGGGCAGAAGAGTGCAGTGGAGACGAACTACTCAGAGAAAGGATCCTTCTCCGCTCCAACACGTTGGAGTCAGGAGGAGGGGCCTGCCCCATCTAGAGCCTCCCCTTCCCTCAGCCTCGCACTAAACAAGGTAGGTTCCAGGGCCACTGGCTTACAGACAGGAGTCTCACAAAAGCCAAAGCCCCCACCTGGATCTCGTCTAGTCTGTAATGCCAGTGGGGAGAGTGAGAGCCTTTTGCCCGCTCACTAGTACCTGCTGTGTATGTATTTGTGGGGGCAGGGGAAGCAGTTGCTAGCTAATTCTGCATGAATTAACTGATTGCCATGTGGGGTCAGGATGTGAGAAAAGAATGGATTGATGCTTTGCCTTTAGGGATAAAAGGATGTATGCAGGTGGTAAGGACCATTCTTTTAAAGTGTGAATTGATGAAGGAAGCAGCCCCATGATGTCTTAAGGCCAGGGCTGGGGTGGTTTGCCTTCTGTAATATTGCTAGCAGCTTGACAACCTCATCCACAACTGTGACATGGCCTCTCAGCCCAGAACTGGCTGTGACACTTAATGGACAATCTGAAGCATGGCAGCACTTTGGGTTTGTGCAGTGCTGTTAGTACCAAGTACCAAAAATACTCTATGGGCAGCTTGGGCTTTGTGAGAATGGTCACAGTCTTGGGCTCTCACAGAAAATATAGTGCTTCTGGTGCTAATGAAACCTTTGCCAGCCGTGCTGGCAGGCAGCAGCCATCGCATGGGTTAACACAGAGAGCACAAAGGAAGTGAGAATAGCTGAGGGGTGTGCTCTTGTCAGTGCGCTGTATCTCCATGTTCTGTAGGTCCCTGCTCCAGCCAGCTCTAGAGAACTTGCCCAGAACATTAATTTCTTTCCTAGGTTTTTCTGACCTTTGGTGTTTTTTCTGCTGTCCTAGGATAGTTACAGTGGCTGGTTTCAGGTCTGCAGAAAGGAACTCTTTTCACAGCACAGTCTGGGTGGTGGAAATGGTAGCACATTTTTCAGCTCCCAAATGATTCTCTCTCATTCTTTTTGTGGGGCTTCAAGGGTGTTGTGATTACTGTCGTGACAATTTAATCATCAGTGTATGCTGGGCTGTGAGATTCGTGCTACCCACTGACTGTGGTTGTGGAGGAAGCTGAAATACCAGCTAAGGTGGTGATATTACAAGAGATGCTGATATTGCACCGTGGGAGAGTAGTTACCTAACTTGTGTGGTGGTTTCTAGTCTAGCTTTTCTGCCCTGAACCAGAGCACATGGTCTGTCTTGGTATCAAATAGGTGAGCACTGTGTACAGGTCCTGTAAGGGTCTAGCAGCCAAGACTCTGCCCCTTAGGACAGTGTGAGACAGCAACTCCTCCTCTGAAAGAGTCTCATAGCTGTTTTCTTCCCTGTGCAGGAACCCTTGACGGATGCAGAAAGGATGAAGTAAGTGTCCTGCTCCCCCTTTATGCCTGTCATACTACAATTGTGTGGGTGCTGATTCCTCATATCCTGCCTGTGCCACCTGCACAATGATACTGACTGGCCCTGCAGGCCTCTCTCACATCTTCAATCTTCTTGGGGCCATGTGGGCAGAACTCTAGTCTGTGCCTTGTCAACCTCTGCCTTGCATGTCTTCCCCTGAAGAGGGAGGGAACAGAGACCCTCAGTGCAGGTGCAGGCAGAAGAGTTGGTGGGTGTGAAAGAAAGTAGGAGATGAAGCTTTTAATACAGGTGGAGAGAGGATTGCCCTTTTTAACCCTTCTTCTTGTTTCAGAGTAAGCCATCAGAAGCAATTTGCAGAAACCTGCTGCTGACTGAGGGTGAGAGCTGAGCTTTTTGCTGGTGGTGGTGTGGGGCACAGACAACTGCTAGCACTGAGCTCCAAGCCATAGTGAGGAGTAGGTTTTCACTGCCAAAGAGAAGCAGTGCTCTTCTGGGTTTCTCCAAGCAACTGAGCACAAAGGAATGAAAAGTAACAGAGAATCTTTCTGACCACGAAGCATGTCCTGGCTGGGGAGGAATGGAGTAGTTTGTGTTGGAATGGGGTTGACTGGCAGCTGTGATCACATCTGTAAATGCACCCCACCACTTTGCTTCTGGGATTAAGGCTGTATGGAGTCCTCTTTCCACCATGTATTAAGGGGGTGAGGGCTTTTGAACAGTTTCAGGGAAGATGATTTTACTCTTTTTGCTTTCAACTCTTCTAACCTGGACTGTGATAAATTATTGAGTGGGTTTCATTCACCAGTGAGGGACACAGGAGCTACGCAGCTCATCTGGCTAGTGGGCTTTGTTCAAGCATTGTAACCAGAGAGGGAGCTGGGAGCCATGGCTGGCCAGCTGGCATGTGCTTCTTCGTCCCTGTTCCAAGAGAGTTCGAGTCTCTCTTTCCTGACAGAGATGCACCTCTCACTGCATGTTCTAGCATCTCCTGCCACTTCAGTTCCTGACTTCACGGGGCCCCCGTGGGGTCTTGGGTCCTAGAGCAGGGCAGCGGGGTGGAGGTGCTGGTGTGGAGTGCCCCTTGTGCACTCAGTGGTACCTTGTTCCTGTGTGCCGCAGGCTACTGCAGCATGAGAATGAGGAGCTGCGCCGCCGGCTGACATATGTGACTAACAAAATGGAGGCGATGGAGAGGGAGCTGGAGTCTGGTCAGGACTACCTGGAGATGGAGCTGGGCCAGAACCGTGAGGAGCTGGAGAAATTCAAGGATAAATTCCGTAGGTATGAAAAAGGAAAGAAGAGAGTAGTAGAATCGGAGAGATCCTTCCCCCAAGGACTCACTCAGCTGGCGTGAGCAGGCTGTGGCCTGTTGTATGAATCAAAAGCATCCTCAGAAAAGTGCACCCATAGACTGTGGGGGAGTTAAAGGCTCTGCAGCCATTACTTCCTCTAGGGTACAGTGTAGGAATGCTGCCAGTGTGAGGGGCAGGGAATTCTTCATCTATTGGATGTGAGGCAGGATCCAGCTTGGATGGTTACTCCACATGTGTAAAAGGAGCCATCAGTGTCTCCTTTTACACATGTTGAGTAACCATCCAAGCTGGATGGTTACTTGATGCTGCAAGAGAATACATCGCCAGTTTACCTGGAAAGTACCTCAATTAAAAATCAATGCCAGTCACTGGTCACATGCTTATACATGACATAGCTCAGAGTCGTCCTCCAAAGTCATTCACAGCCTCCCCTTCAAGATCCTTTCACCCAGCCGACCTTATCTTGCCTCCGCTAACGTGGGACCTGAAGGCCATTATGTGGCAGAGGTAAGGCATAGCTGATATGCCTGGTTGTCTCAGTTCTGTTCTTTCTGAAGTTGTGGAGTTGGTGGTTTGCTTGGCAGCTATGAAGGGGACTTGCGTAGGTGCATGAGATCTGTTCCCATGTATACAATCTTGTTTCTGTAGGTTGCAGAACAGCTATACTGCTTCCCAGAGAACCAACCAGGACCTGGAGGAGAAGCTGCATGCCCTGGTAAGTGCCCTATTCAGTAACTACAGAGACACGGTGGAAGAGACCCGTGTGTTAGGAGCAGATGGGGTGAGAGGCCCTGGCTTTACCCAGCAGATGTGGCAGTGGGTGAAGGGTGAGATTCTGGCCGTGACTATCTATTTCCCATTGTTGCTAGTATCATGAATTGTTTTCTTGATTTACTGAGTCCCTACTTGGTCATGCATGTGAGCTTTGGCTCCCCACAACACATAATTGCATGATATTCCGTCATGTTGCTTCAGTCCCTCTCGAAATGCCAGGGATATGTCAGCCAGTCTTAGGGTGGTTATCTTGGGAGGATGGGGGCAGTCAGAACAGAGCCAATGTGCGTATATGTCTGTTGTGTGCATTCATAACACTCATGGCTGTTTCTTTTCTCTCCCTCCCTCCCTCTCTCTCTCCTCCCCACGCTGCCGCTGGCACACGCTGGGCACACTCACCTCTCAGGCCTCTCTCAGCCAAAGCTGGATTTTTGCAGTTGCGTCTTTTCGTTTGTGTGTTTTTTCTTTTCCTCTTTACGTGTCTCTGCCTGTTGGTTCCATTGTCAGTCCCACAAACACCACCCCAGATGGAGGGGCCCCGGCCCTCGTCCAGCCAAGGGCTCACCTGGTATCCAGCAGCTGCCCACAGATGCAGCAGGTCCCAGCTTGCAGTGCTCCACCTGAAGAGTGTTTGACTCTGAGCCAGCTGGAGCATGGCGTGTTGGGAAGTGATGCCCATAAGCTGTGGCACTGCACAAGATATGGATGGCTGTGAGCTTTGTTTGCTCCCTTTCCTTCCCCTTCTGAGCTGTGAGCAGGCAAGTCGAACAGCTGAGATGCTGATTGCCTCCATGTATCCCAAGATGAGATTTCTTTGGTCCTAGCACTTGAATTTCTTGAGTTTATATTCATTGTGTTGGTGCCTGAAGAGACTGTATATGTGGGAAGCATTGTCCTACCTGACCCCCTTGTGTGTCGCTGCTCTGCACCCTTGTGCACAGCTGGGCCCTGATCATCACAGCCTCGAGCACCCTTGGGCAGCATTGGAAGAACTTGAGAAGGGAATGGCTTGGTTGTTCTCAGCTGTTACCCATCTCTGCTGTTACATCTGGGTCTCTGTCGGCACTGCACCTCAACTGTTAGGGACTCTAAAGAGGCAAGATTATCTGCTTTAGGGAGGGCGTTAACTGACCTCTAGACGAAGCTATAAAGATCCTTTTTCTTACTAGAGCAAGGCTTAAACCCTTTCAGGATGGTGCCTTCTCCCTGCCAAAAACCCTTTTGTCCATTCAGCGTTGACTGCTGAATCTTTATGGGCAGCGTTCTTGTTCTGTTGCCCCAGAGAAGAGGGCTGGGTATCACAAGCTCAGAGGTCTTTGCTGCCAGTATCAGGATTGGATTGATTTGTTCAAAACCACTAACTTTCCACCAGGCACCTTGTGAACCAGGGCAGAGAGGAAACGTGGTTGTGCTGTAGGAAAAGATACTGTGTTGAGGAGGTTTGAACTCAACCTGTTCTCTGTAGCTGTCCCCCTTGTCTGTCTGTTTGGAAGTTTTTGTATCCCAGCTGAGCATGTCATTGTGCTATGTTTGGGTAGAGGTGGGTGGTGAAGCCAAGTTGTTCTCTTCTGGGGGGATTTACACCTGGTGTTCTTGTATCCCAGATTAAAAAGGCAGAGATGGATCGCAAGACGCTGGACTGGGAGATCGTAGAGCTCACTAATAAATTGCTTGATGCCAAAACCACCATCAATAAGCTGGAGGAACTCAATGTAAGTGTCAGTCTGCAAATGGCTGTGGAAGTGTATGAGGTGTGGGCTTTTCCTCTTGTTAAAAGTTATTAGTGTAAAGAAGCACGTGAATGGCTTCAGTGTGTATGAAAGTGTGGAAGCTGTACACAGCAGTAGGAACAGACAAACAGAAAAGGGTCTGAGGGCTTGAGCAAGGAAGAACTGATCTTCAAGTTTGATGAATTGGCTGTTTTGAGTTTAGTTTGATCTGAGTCCAGGCTGTACCAGCGGAGGGGTCATTTACTTGAGTGCTGGGAGGGAGTTGATGCTTTTTCTTAATTAATTATCATTAATAGAGAAGTTCCTGGGTTTGTTGCTTGTTTCTATTAACTGCCCTCAACTCCCTCTAGTCTGTCTGTTTGCAACAGGGCAGTGTCTTCAGGCATGGCTGAGAGCTTTGGGGTGGGATAGCAAATCTGGTGGGACTTTTGGAGACTATTGAAATCCCCAGAGGGAGAGGGGGTTGACACACTGACTGTATGTGCCTGGAACAAGGACTGGAGTTTAAAGGAACACATTGACTGAGCTGTAAGAAAATACACAGGGGTGTGGAAAAGAGTGTCCTCATGAGTGATTCATCACATGCCTCTTCCTGCTTCTGTGCAGGAAGCATCTGGTCAGATGGTGCGTTTTTGTGTAAGAGATGGGTCCAGTCTGACACTGTTGCACACCTATGCCCTTCTTGCAGGAGCGCTATCGACAGGACTGTAACCTTGCAGTACAGCTACTGAAGTGTAACAAGTCCCACTTCAGGAACCACAAGTTTGCTGATGTGAGTAGCAGTCCTGCTGAGATGGGCAAGAAGGGCTCCTGGTCCTGCCTGCCTCTTGCTTTCTTCAGCTTTCTCTGCAGGGCCATTGGTCTCATTCTTCAGCCTCAGATAGAGGGTGGGGGAGGGCTCCTGTTCCCACTCCCACTGAGAAGGCAGCACAGAGCCTCTGCCATCTCCTCTTTCACGCCAGCTCCATTTCACAGCTCAGCTAGGAGCTGTTATAAAAAGCACAATAACCTTGAATCTGATAGCCTGCTGGGTGCCTGATGGGAGCTGGCAGGAGGACAGACCTCTCTCTTACCCTGCTCTGTCCTCTTCTCTTCCTCACCTGGCCACATGGAAGGTCCACGCTGCCTCATAAGGAGCTGAGCTGCAATAGTCTGGCCTGGCTTCAGTTCTTACTGTGAGGAGAAATGTGGGAGGCAGCTCTCAGGGCGTCTTTTAGGCCTGAATGGGAGAAGTTGGTACCAAATCATACTCCCCCTCATGGAGTCTATTCAGCTCATCTTGCCCTCGGGATGAGCAAAGATGGAGTTTAGGCCTTCTACATTCGTAGCATCACTTCTTTGGTTGGAAGTATCATTTAGGCCCCTACCCCAGCTCTCTCTTTGCCATACCCCTTGTCTCCATCCCTTCTTAGGTTCCTCACAGCAAAACCACGTGCTTGTCTTTCTTAACTTAGCAGGTGACCAATATGTCACCCTCCCCCATTGTGTCTCAAATTAGCACTCTTGAGGTCAGTGTATCAGTTACTGCTGGGGTAACCTTGACCTCTCTCCCAGCTGTCTCCCCTCCCTGGAGCTTTGCATTCTGCCCCCCAGAGCATCGTGTCCCACATGGCTCCACTGACAGGGGCTTGGTGCTGAGCAGCTGTGCAGTCCGCCTCACAGCCAGCTGTTGTCATGCAGTGTGCCCTGCATCTGTGCTTTCCTCCTGCCTCTGATGGGGCTCCTGCCGTGCCACGGAGTGGCTTACGGAGCTCTGCTCTCCGCTTCATGCGGTGCATGGGTGTGGTGACCACGGTGGGGGCAGCCTGGCACGGTGGTGAGGAGAGCTGTAGTGCCCATTTGCAGGACAAGGAGCAGTGCTTACCCTCTGCTGAGACCCCAGTCCTGCAGCTTTGGTAGTAAACCCCATGTTTGTCTCTGACATGGAGAGAGTGAGGAAGTGGGATGAATTGGTGAGAACAAGGGAAGGCATTGATTCTGCTCTGTGGGCAGGCTGCCAAGGCAGCATGGCTGCAGAAACTGCGTTCAGGGAGCACTGTGGATCCCAGCACTGGGGGCTGTTGAGTCACTTCAGTGCAACCACCAGCTGATTTTCCACAGATCAATAGACCCCTTCCTAGCATGCGCTGGCTGAGCCTTGTCTCTTGTGCTCACAGGCATGGGGGACTGAGGCCATGGGCCATCTTTCTCTCTTTGCACAATGGGGCCTGTGTACCGTGGCCTAGACACATGACTGGTGTGACAGCTAGAGAGTCTTGTCAGTCTCTTATGGGACAGGTCTGCTTTGGAAAGAGATGCCTTTCTCAAGGCAAGGTAGGTGACTGTTAGGGTCAAGATGAGGAGTACGAAGTACATGTGAAGGTTGGTTGGAACAGGCAGATTATTTGGAATTGAGTGGTTTGTATGGCAGCCTCCTTCTAATGCCCTATTCCTTTTCCCTAGCTTCCCTATGAGCTGCAGGACATGGTCAATAAGCATTTACATAGCACTCAGGAGTCATCAGGCCCTGGTCAAGAAGCAACCCACACCTTGGCTCCATCTGATGTTGTGCCCACCTCGGTCATTGCCAGAGTCTTGGAGAAACCAGAATCTCTGGTTCTGAATTCGGCTAAGTCTAGCAGTGGCAGCTGTCCCATGGCTGAGGATGTCTTTGTGCATGTGGACATGAGTGGAGCCCCTCCTGATGCCTGCAGCAGTGCAGGGCAGATGGGGAAGGAGGGAGGAGATGCAGGAAAACAGAATGGTGGCTGCAAGCCCCAGTGCAGTGTGGAGAGTGTGCCAGAGGAGGTGCCTGCCTTTGAGAAGCTAAGCCCATACCCTACACCATCACCTCCCCATCCGATGTACCCTGGGCGCAAAGTGATTGAATTCTCTGAAGACAAGGTAAGGATCCCAAAGAACAGCCCCCTGCCCAACTGTACATATGCTACACGCCAGGCTATCTCCCTCAGCCTGGTGCAGAGTGAAGACGAGAGCTGTGACAGGCAGCAGACACTCCCCAACAACCCTGCCTCGGAAGGGCGCCGGTCGGCCTCCAGCTGTTCCTGTCAGCAGTCGCCCAAAGCAGCCCGGGCTCATGGCTCTTCCCAGAGCAGCCCGTTCAGCAGCCCCCCCCAGATCCCCAGCGCCTTCGCCAGCTCCGCCAGCTCCGAGGAGGACCTGCTGGCCAACTGGCAGCGCATGTTTGTGGACAAGGCACCCCCCACCTCGGAGCGGGTGCTGATGAACCGCACGGCTTTCAGCCGCGACACGGCCCCCGAGCTCCAGAAGAGGTTCAGCCGCTCCATGCAGGAGCTGGGTAGGGCAGCCTCGGCTTACTCGGATGGTGAGGAGTCTGCACAGAGCTGCAGCTGGACCATGAGCCGGGACTCGAGCGTGGACACAGACAGCACCGAATCCAGAGCCCGCAGAAGCCATTTCTCCTCAGACTATGGTACAGATTTCTCCCAGGATGAAGCTCAGAAGCTATTGCAAGAAAGCGGTGGAGGTACCACTGAGCCTGGAAGCCCTTCACCAGAGAAGCACAAGGACTATGTAGACCTTGGCTTGCCTGAGAGCCCAGATGAGGAGAGAGAAATGTTGCTCCAGGGAAGCAAGGAGGGCAACCAAGGAGGTTCCCAAGAGGAAAGTGGAGAAAGCAGGGTCAAGCCTTCCTTCAGTCGGCCGCACCGCAGCCCCAAGAGGATGGGAGTCCACCACTTACATCGCAAGGACAGTCTGACGCAAGCCCAGGAGCAAGGCAACCTTCTCAGCTGAGGCAGGGCAAGAAGCAGCCACGTGCTGCAGAGCTGTGGAATGCCTCCATCTGTCCACTTCTGAGGAAGGAACCCCCTTAGTACCCTCCTCCCAGGGGGGCTCTGCTCTGAAATTTTGTATTCTCTTCTTTTGCTACCTGGAAGAGCTGGGGTCCACCTTCCCCAGCACCTCAGACCCACAGTACTAGCACACACAGTGTGCAGAAGCACGCCCACTGCCCTGGCATACTTTCAGCTTTCTTCACACCCTCACACTGGTGCCTGTACCGGAGCTCATTCTTGGTACCCCTCATCCTGGTGCCTGTGCCTCTTAATGCTCACATCTTCCTTCCCCCTTCCCACTCAGGTACCTGAGGCCCTGGGTACTCTCATGCTGTTTGCCTGCAGCTGCTCTGCTCTTTTAACTTGTGCCAACAGGGCAGAGTGCCTGTGTGGTGGTGTCTGATTCCCTGGGAGCCCCCAGGGGCTGTGAGTGGGGCACCAGGACTCTCCCAGCAGATGGCTCTGTGCCCCTGGGGATGTGCTGGGATTTCTGGTGTCTCATTTTCCCGCTGGGTTTTGTTTTCCCCAGCTGCCCTCTGGGTGGTTCTCCAGAATCTGCCTTTGCAGGTCCCCACTGCTTGGCTCCTGTGTTGGGCTCAGCATCCAGCCCCCCTCAGGCAATGCATGGATGCTGGTGCTGTGGCGTGGGGCACGGGCGCTGTCTGCTGGGGTGGTTCAGGGAGGCACCTCCTGCTAGGCACTGGGATCTGTGTTTGGGTGTCTCCTCCCTCACACCTCTTCCCCTGCTCTCTGTGCTGTTGTTTTGTTTGAACAGTGCTGGTGCTTTGCTCTTGGGTGGGCTTCTTTCTTCTTTTCAAGCCTTTGGTTTTGGGGTGTATTGTTTTTCCTTTCTCCCCACCCTGCATAAGCAGCCGCAGCCGCTGGCAGCCAGTCCGATGCCTGCATTGAGGGTGTGTTGAGGAGGCTCAGCTCGGAGCTGCGCTTCCCTCTGATCCTGGCCTCCAACCTGCAGAAACACCTCCGGACTAAAGAACAACATCTCGCTCCGGGTGAGCAAGGTGTGAAGGACACCGCTGGGCTCAGTGCAGGGCCGGCAGGGATGTGAGGGCAGCGTGCTGAGGAGCTGCTCCCTGTAGACACACTACCTCATGGCTCAGCAGCAGCCCTTTGCCAAGGGCTCCTCGCACACCCCCTTCTATGGGGGCTCCGGGCTGGCTCTGATGCCTCTCTGGGGTCTCCCCTTCTGGGTAGGGCCTCTCTCTGTGTTTTTCCTAGTGTAGTGTGATAATGTGTGACTTTTCTTCTTGGTCTTGTGTGCTCGGTGTCTTGTTTGGGTGGGGGGAGGGGGAAGGGGAGAGGTCTGTAGATGTAGGTATTTTTTTGAGGGCTTACAAAGCCCAGGCATCCTATTTTAATATTGTCCTGTGCCCTTGTCTGTCTGGTGTTTCTTGGCTCCCTGAGGGGTGCAAGGCAGGGTAGCCTGGTTGCCTGTGCTATGCCCCCCTCGAACCCCACTGGCTGTCCTCAGCCTGCTGTCTGTTTTTTTGAGTTGGGTTTGTGTTGTCCTCCCACCCTACTCAAGGAGGGCTCTTCACTGGGCTGTAGTGAGCAGCCCTCTCTCTGGGAAGGGAGCTTCCGTTCATATGCTTACAGCAAGATGCGTGGCCAAGAGCTGCCTCGGGCCCTGCTCCCCTCCCCAAACCCGTGTCTCTGCAGAGGGTCTGCAGCTGGGGCAGCCAGGGCTTCAGCTCGAGCCTGGAGGCTCCAGGGCCTGTGAAAGGGAGCTGCAGGCGCCTCTGGCGGCTCTGTAGGCTGCTTTATGTCCCCTGCTGCCTTGTTTCCCACTTCCAATATTGTGGAGCTGAATGCCACCCTCTGGCGGGCAGGTGGAACTCGGTGTTATGCTACAGTGTTTTGCTCGATACCTGTGCAAACAGGCTGGTGCTGAGAGCAGGAGCCTCCTCTGAGCCTGCAGGGTGTTCATCTACTCAGAGCTGAATGTAGTGGTGGGGACCTTGCGTTTGCTTTCATCTGCTGCTCCACTGCTGCATTTCTTCTGCAGCATTGCTGAGGGCTTGTATGTGCAGTGGCTGCCAGCTCCTGCCTCATGGACAGCACCTGGGGTTGGATGCTCACTGAGTGAGCTCCTCTGGCTCCCTGAGGGGGAGGCATTACCCCATCTCTTGCTGTGCTGGTCAGGGGACGAACCCCACTCTTGCTGAAGCAGCTAGTGCTGATGGTGCGGGGCAGAGGCAGCTTCCTGCTTTTGGTCAAGGTAGGCTTAAAAGAGAAATGGAAGGGTGGCAAAGGGGTGCCCAGTGCCTCATCAGACCCTTCTTCACAGCATTAGACTGCTGGCAGAGGTTGAGGAGGAGCCTCAAGAGGAGCCTCAAGAGGAGCAGAGCCCTCTCCCAGTGGACGTGGTGCCTGCCCTCTGCACTCCTGCTCACCTCTGGGTGAGCTCTGGGGCCCTGAGCTGACCCCATTTTCAGTGTCCCAACTCCAGACTGTTAATCTGTAACTAATGTGTTTTTTTCTGAAATTTTCAAACTGATGTATATTTTAAGACCAGAAATAAACTATTTTAAAAGTAGGTGGCAATGGCACAGTGTTCTCTGTTGGTTAAGATCTGGCCCAGGCTGATCCTGAGCATGTGAGCGAGCAGAGCCTCTCATGGCACAGGTTTCCAGGTTTGCTGAACTGTGTGTGCCACCCATGAGCGATCCTGTGGCCTGTAAGCTTTCCAGGAGGCTGTGAACTCACTGGTCATCCTGACTGTGCATTTTAGCAACAGCCTGATTCAAGGTGCTTTTGCAAATCAAGTCATACATGTTGAAGAAGAGGGGTGCAGCCCCAGGCAGGGAGTAATGTGTGGGGATGAGCCATGGTTTTCTTCTTTAATTTTATCCAAGCTCTGCAAACTTTTACTTTGGGTCTGAATGTAGACTGTCAGATCAAGGATCAGACTGAACCTGTGGACCAGAATCCACTGTTCACAGCAGCACTTGTGTCGCTTCTGGCTCAGTTCACAGCAGCTTAAAAAAGGGCAGATTATTTAACCAGGCAACTTTGAGAAACATTAAAAACCAATGTGGGTAATTTTCACATTACTTATAGGCTGTAAAGGCTTGGTTTGTAAAATAACTCTGGAGGGAAGCTTATTGTGCTGTAAGCAGCCTCAGTGTTTACTCAAAATTCTGCCTACCCCATTTCAAGCATTTTGCTGGCTGAGAGGTCAGAGGGCTGTCATGAAATTTCCTCCATCTCCTGAGTTACGCTGCCTGTGCCATTCTGACCTAGGTGTATGTAACACAAGGGCAGTTTCTTGTTTCTTTGTCCCCATAATTAATGATTTTATTCTGTGTTCCCTTGAGTAGCAGCTGCTGCCACAATTTAATCTTCCAACCTAATCTGAGCCTTGAAACATGATACTCCTTACCTAGCTCCAGCCATGGCCGCTTGCCTGACTGCTAGTGTTGCTGCAGCCACCTGGTGCCAAGCTCCATGCAGAGGGGCTCTATCCCAGCCCACTACCTGCTAGGCCGAGGTAAAGCCTGGGGGTCACTAAATCAGGCTGTGACCAACCTCCCTGCAGGGCCAGGTGACCATCCTGGGACCCTGCCCTTGCAGGGAGCAGGAGAGCCCATGGGCTGGGCGGGCTGCTGCCGATGCTCCAAGGCGCCGCACAGCTCCTGCCTGCTCCCAGTACCTACCAGCATCTGCCCCATTGCGGAGGGCACAGAGTGATGGAGGGGACACTGCCATGAGTGGTGCCATGTCTGTGACCTTTATAAAACTCTCATCGCGATAGCAGTACAAGCAATAGAAAGAACATCTCTTATACACATCTGAATAAATACAGCCTGTGCCCTGCGGGCACAGCCGGGCGCAGGGGGGAGGCAGGGCAGCGTGAGCTACACAGGCAGCGACTGGACAAGCACAAGCGGCCAATGTGGTGTGTGACAACACAGAGACGTGCGTAGAGATTTGCTCGGGCCAGGCTCCGGCACTCAGAGAACCAAGAGAGGCATCAACAGGACGTGAAATGTGTGAGAAGAGGGCTGGAGCAGCCCGCCGGCAGCAGGAGAGCCGTGGATGCACACTGCCCCAGCGGGCACAGTGCTCTTCTCGGCAGAAGCAGGCAGGGTAGCCCAGCTACATTTCTGTTTCTGCTAAGAGGCTGTCACCGAGACCTGACGTCATCAGGACCATCTGGGAGCTGGAATCTGGTGAGAGAGGGAGAAAACCATGAGCTGCTTGGGCTGCCAGAGCGCGCCGGGCTGTACTCCAGACCCAGAGGTGAGGATGAGGAATAATAGTGCAGCAGGGTGGGAAGCAAACTGCTGCAAGGACTGTGGGATTAAGTAGGAACTAGGTCTACTCTGGCCATGCAGCAGAACAGAATCAATGTTTGGGGAGGAGGGAAGGCAGAGACAGCAGCAAGAGCCCGGGTGGAGTATCTGCATTTGTTATCTTGGCTGTAGAGAGGAGCATCAGCTCTGAACCCTCCTGACACACACTTGCAGGTGACACTGGTTGTGCTGACCCAACCATGCCTTACCCAGCCCTGTACAGGCCTTTAAATCAGCACTCACCAGGTGTCTTTTCAACCAGAGATAGTGTCCAGGTGCGACAGGGCTGGCAGGCTGCAAGCCAACCAAACCCACATAGGGCAGTGGTGCTGCCTTCCCAGAAGCAGGGAAGACTGGGCAAACGGTCATTTCAGGGCAGCAGAGGCCTGGAAATCCTGACCTTCTGCACTGCATGAATGGAGGGTTTGTGCAGCCCTTCCCTTCCTGCCTCAGGAAGGTGAGGGCAGCTCTCTGGCTCTGCGATGGCACAGAACGCCAGCCAGGAACTCTTCCCCACGCCAAGTGAATCAGCTGCAAGGAGGATGGGCACGCATAGCAAGTAAGAAACTCAGCAGGGTACCAGTTTCCCATCCAGAAGCCTTTTTAAACAGAAAACAACGCTGGTCTTTTCCTGTATGTGAGGGAGATCGTTAGTGGCCGTGTTTCTGTGTGATCCCGTCCTACACATTGGAAACTGCTGCATGGGATATTTTGGCGATTAATTTCTGAAAACTCGATCCAAAACTTGGCCAGAGCTGTCAGTAAAAGGATTTTTATGGCTCTAATAAATGAGGATCAGATGTTTTGAGGTGCAGGGGGTGGTTGGGTTTATCTGCTGCTAGTCTGATATGAGCACTGGGAGGGGGCAAAGGACTACTAAAGGTAAAAAAACCCAACACAGCAGGATCACGACACAGGCACAACAATATACAGTATTACATATACAAACAATACACAACAGGCTACTGCTATCTCCATAATATGCCTTTTTGTGTGTTACAAGCAACAGACAGGCTGTGACACCTGGCTAACCCTTCACACGTTTGGGATGCAGAGATAGGAATAGGTGATGCTGTCCAGATTGCAGGGAGGCTCAGGAAGCACGAGGAATGACATGAGTTTTGGCTAGGATATTTAGCAAAGGCCCCCGAAATCTTTAATGCTCCTGCCCTTGAGTTTTAAGAGTTTCCACAAAGGTTTTGTTCCTACAGCATCAGGGAAAATGCCTCTGAGGCACCACTGCCACTTGTTGCAGCACCTGCATTGTCCTCAGAGGCTGCTTTTCCAAGTGCAGCTCAGCCCAATGCTACTTAACATGAAGGTTGCACCTGGAGGCTGTCTGGATTCGAGTTCACGGGGAGAAGGCATGGACCCCATTCACCAGCCCTACCACAAAAGACCAGACCACCCAATTCCTGCCTGTCAGCCCCTGCCCACAGCCCAGGTCCCACAGCTCTTACTGTTCTGGCAAATCCAGGGGTTCTTCTCCCTCGTTGTGACTTCACGAGCCTCCGTCTCCTCCTCTTCCTCACCCTCTGAGAGCAGGTCAGAGATCTGCTGCTGTAGCTCAGGACTGATGTTGTTCTCTGCCAGGATGAGTGTCCGTAGGGCTGTGGGGTAATTCTCTACCATGTCCAGCAAGGTCTAGGTGGAGAGCGAGATAAGCAGGCTGTCAAGCAGCACAAACAGTAGCTAGGCTGAGCAGAAAGAACTTCAATGCTCTGTCTCCCTGCAAACTCTAGCCCTCCTCTTCTTACCTCAGCTCCCCTTGGCCATGACCTCTCTGCACCAGGCTTTCTGAGAGCCTGAGCACTTCTTATCTTTCTGTGGGAACAGCTGAGCCTGGATTTCCTGGCTCTATAGGCTAGTGCCCTCTTCCTGCTGGGAGCTGGGACTCAGAGGAGAGCCTGTGCTAACAAAGCCTTGGCCTGTATCAGTCCACAGATACAGCTCTGATCCTCAGCCACAACCCAACCCCTTACTTTCTCCAAGAAAACCAAACTACAAAGAGTCATGTGTTTCTCCCTGATGACTTGGGGAAGGTCCAGGTGCCCTAGGTCAGAGCTGTGCCTTATGAGCTCCTTCTGTAGCCGGAAGGGCTAGGGGAAAGCAATAGCACCCCCGGGCGCATGGAGGGAAAGGGGTGCCTGTGGACTTGGGGAGGGGAGTGGAGGGAGGGATAGGTCCTGGGGCCTCTAAAGATAGCCAAGACCTATACCCTTGAGACGTCAGTGATGGTGCGGAGTAACAGCATGCTCTCATACCTGGGCTGACTGGTTGGTAAGTCCTGTTCCCTCCAAGTCCAGAACTTCAAGGGTTCGACTGGAGGCCACAGCAACAGCGAGCATCCCTGCTACCTGGTCACCTGCAGGAGAAGCAAACCGGGGCTGTCAGCAGTGCCTGCCTTCCCTCATGTAATACCGCATGCCTTCATAGGCCTTGGGCTGTCATGGAAACATCCTCTGAGTATTTAAAAACCTCCTGATCTTCAAATCTGTTACCTTGGGGGTGGAGAGGGGAGAAGCTGTTAATTGGGAAAAGAGACAAGGTAAAGGTACACCATTTTGTGGTTATGGAGCAGTCACTGATTATCAGGAGGAACACAAGGGAACACAGTGAAATTGGGTTAATTCCACAAGGAACCATATCTTCCCAAATATCTTTCCTACTCAAGGATGCGAGGGCCTTTAACAATCCCTGTAAGGCATCCCAGATGCAGAATAAAGAGCTGAATACCTCAGTCTAGGGGGAGGCTGGAGTCAGACAGAGGACTCTGCACTAGCTGACAGACTGTCTCCCTGGAAAGGGGGCAGGCTTTGGGGGTGGCTGCAGTAAGATAAGGAGCATTAAAGATTGATGCTGCTGAAGACAAGACTCCAGCATGTTCTCCTGATATTCCCTGGCGAGTGCCAAGACACCATACAACTGTGACACCTTCTCTTGGAAATTAGAAACAACAGGCTGCTGCCAGGTAACACCCTGGGGCCTTTCCTGCCTGGGAGGAGGTACCTGGTCAGACAGACAGGGTCTGGAGGGAGGCTCCTGTTTCCAGACCAGACTGGGTGAGGAGGGGAGCGCCCTGCTGATGCTCAGGGAGGCACGGCCTGGTCTCCTCCTCACCACCTTGCATCAGAACTGAAGAGAGTTGGTTTCTATGGTAACGAGTGCCAGGCTCTCCTCCTCCTCCCTGCTCTGCCAGGAACATGAAGGGGGGAGTGCAGGGACATACCGCATCTGCCAAACCAGCACCGGGGCCCAGAGCTTCAGGAACAGGGGACACATGGGGGGCCAAATATGATGACAAAGGTGGTGGAGTGGAAAAGGCACAACCTCCTTTCTGTGCCTCCCTGCAGGGCACGTGTCCACCTCACACAAGCAGAGCAGCAAGGGTGGCTTTCCCTCCACTGAAGGC